CATACTGACCTGCTTCAGGTCACAGGTGAGGAGCTTGACTGGATGTGATTGTGATTCTCTGAAGTAAAGACCCCATAGCTTTCTCTACAAATTATCCACATCTCGCTGGCTTTGGAGACTGAGGTGATGGAGAACCTTGTTGCTGCAGTATAGCCCTCTCCTTCTTCTACAGCAGGGGAAAGATGAGAATGCTCTTCTCCAAGAGGAGGCAGGCAAGAAAGAATCACTGCAGTCAGGTGGGTTTTGCACAAGTCTGTGTTTGGTGGGGGATCAGGGGACAGCAGAAGGCATAAATAACCATTGCTCTCCTTTCTCCCTTACCCCCAGAGCAACAGTTGGCCCAGTTGACACAACAGCTGGCCCAGACAGAGCAACACCTGAACAATCTGATGGCCCAGCTGGACCCCCTTTTTGAGCGGTAAGAAGAGCAATGAGCCTGTGGCCAGAGGAACTTGTGATAGGTGGACGAGGTGGGGACACGTACTGGGTAGCCTCTGAGTGGATATTTCTGCAGTGTGACTACCCTGGCTGGAGCCCAGCAGGAGCTTCTGAACATGAAGCTTCAGACCATCCACCAGCTGCTACAAGAGAGCAAGCCAAACAAGGGTGTGGAGGTTCCAGAACCAGGTAAAAGGTTGGGAGGTGAGAGTCTGGTGGAGGTAGCGACCGTTTCTGAGACAGGAATATTCCCGATCTTTCCCCTCACAGAGGCCGGCATACCCTTTCCTGAGGACTTATGTATAGAGGAGGAGGAGGAGGAGGCTGGTGACAGTCAGGCCTGGGAGGAGCCCTTGAACTGGAGCACAGAGACAAGGAACCTAGCTCCTCCCTGGGAAGTGGAGCAGGGGCTAAGGAGAAGATGCAGCAAGGCTGTGGGAAGGGCCGCGGCCCCAGTCCCCGCCTGGGAGGAGGAACGACAGCTGAAGGTTTAGTAAAACAAAGTCTGTTCTTGTGACTGGATATTCCTGTGTGCTTTTTCCATTCCAGCTGGCCATACACACACCCATACTAGGTGCCCAAGAACAACTGGGCCTTCTTGAAAAGCTTCCCTTATTAGGACAAAACGAGGCCACCTTCCAGTGTGAGAGCTGATAGATAGAGGGAGCTCTAGTTCTTTTCCTTGTATTCCTGAGGCCACCACCATCATGCCAGCCTTCCTGGCACAAAAAACCCTTTCTCAAATCCCAGAGCTGAGATAGAGAGGCCTTTCCAAAAAGGAAAACAAAAACAAAAACAAACCACTTTACTAAAATCCAATGGGAAAATAAATTATAGAAACGCATACAACATAAAAACATCCACGTTTACAAAGCTGTAGTCTTGATGAACGACCAGCTATAAACACAGCACCGGGCTTATCAGTCCCAAAGCCCCTCATCTGTATCGGAGGGGGTGGTTCAGCAGAGGTTCAATTGGGTCGGACTTTGTTTCCTTATTCTTAGAGGCTGGTTGGTCCCAAACAAACACAAAATGACCCTTCTCAAACCATGAAGGGTTCTGTGTTTTGGTTAGTACTGAAGATTTCTTTGTACTCCTGACTCTGATCTGTCCCTCAAGTATCCTGGGTTCTGGAATTTGTAAGATTCCTCTAGCTCTTCTGGCTGCTGTGGAGAGAAGATGGTCAGTTCGGGCACTGGCATGAGCACTCTATTAAGACAAAATCCCTCATGGCATTGGGGGTGGGGGCGGCCCAGCAGATGGAGGACCTGAGATAGGATTAGAACTGCTCATTTCTAGCTCGTGGGTCTTCCTGAGGGAAGACACAACTTACCTGATGGCCAAAGTCAGACTGTGGTGCCAGCGCAACAGCTCTTCCTGGTCTGTGGACATAAGCAGTAGCTTCTCACAGGGAAAGGACAGCTGGGGAGAAATCACCTCTTAGTGCACACTTCAGAAAGGTCCAGGCTAAAGGTGAAGGCCTTGCTGTTTCCATGGACGTAATTTCAGGCTGAGATGAGAACTAACTATGAACCCCAAACTCCTGTTATCTCAATATAGGTGGCTTAGTTCCTCTGAAGGGGGCCCAGGCCCAGGAGATAAATTAGGTACACAGGTGTTTGAGGTCTATTTTGAGGCTCTCCTACCTTACCTCGGGCTCCCGGCTATAACTTACGCTGAGCAGTCCACCACAAGGGCCTCCTGAGTGGCCAAAGACCCTGTGGAGTTGACACTGGGCCATGGGGTAGAGGGCACGGCAGGCAAAGGTGCCACTCTGCAGCAGATGCAGTGGGGGTCGAGGTTTGGCCATGAGGAGCACATCCGAGAAGAGGAAGAACATTCGGGGCCGAGGCTCCCCACGGGGAGGCACTACCAGTAGCCAGCCCTGACGTAGGAACCAGCGACCTGAGGGGTGGGAGAGCTGTTACTCTGGTGCTGCTCTAGGACCACGATCCATGGGAACAGAGGGAAGGGGAGGCTGAGGAAATAGGGTGTATGTGCTGGCAATACAGAAAAAGGTGGGTCAGAAAAGGGCAGTTCGAGGATTGAGGAGTGGGGGAAGAAGGGGAGTAGTGTGCAGACTACCTGAGGTAAGCCCCTTTGCCTGGCGGCCACTGAGCAAAGCCTGAACACGCCGGAGGTGCTGGTCATTCTTCTGTCTCTGACCAATGCTGTGGACTCTCTGAGCAGTCTCACTGATCAGCCGGGCAGCCCCTGCAATAACATCCCCAGCCCTACTCCCAGTACAGCTTTGACTGTGGGTGACTGATGGTGGTGAAAGGCTATTCTGCAGGGGACTAGGGTTAGGGTCTAACCGCTTGAAGAGCAGGCAGGGCAACAGGGACATTGTGTACATGTCAGTGGAAGATAGGAGCATACCAGATATTGTTGGAGGTCAGAACCAGAAAGGGATACAGGAGAGGCAGCCTCCTGCCTGTGTTTCAGAGGAGCAAGAACATACGTGTGAGCTGTTGGTGGTCAGGGCTGTTGGGACCTGTGTTTTCAGCCAAAGCCATGACAAGATTTTCATACCTGGAGTCAGACAGGTGGAAGTCCATGAGGGGAAGCAGAGCGGGCAAAATTCCCTCTGCCTGACCTACATATCACCCCCTACACACACTTCAGTTCAAGGCCGAAAGATCTACTTCAGATTATTGTGTCCCCCTGCCCCACCCTTTCATCTGGGACTCAGGCTCATACCCCATGGCCCTCTTCCATCCCACACCAAAGAGTCAGGAGCAGACTGAGCATAATTTGGGAGTCTACATCCCATGATGAAGTTAATCAACCCAAGGAGGATGCTACAGACAACCTCACTATATGCTCTTAACATCCCCAGGGACAGAAATTCCAAGCTAGACCAACCTCTCATCTCAACAAACTTCCAGATACCTTGTCACTAGCTCTATTACTAGGCCCCTCACTTCAATGTAGAGTTCCACATTCCCAGCTAAGGGCCTGAGGCTGCAGACCCCAGGTACTCCAGTGGGTTCACATGTATTCTTGTGAGGTTCTTAGGAGCAGTTTGTCCCAGAAGAGAGAGAGGCAGTGGGACAGAAGCCATAAGACCCCACAAAGCTGAGAGCGGCAGTCATACAGACTCAGAGAAGTTGGCTGAGTCAAGGTGAATTTACTCACTGCTGGAGCCTCTGCAGAGGCAGAGGGAGCAGGTCCTGAAGATGCAGGCTTCCAAACTCAGGGCGGCCTTCCTGAAGTCGCACAAACCTCCGGAAACGTTTATTTTTCTTTAGTTGTTCCTGGAGTGATGAAGAAAGGGTTGGCAGCAGGGGGACAAGCCACCCCTTATATTGTACCCATCTGTGTGCCCAACCCTCTGTAAGCTGTGTGCTCCTGAGAGAACCCCTACAGGGAACTTAGTACAGACCAGGGCACCCAGAGGGCCCTATAAATGTAGTAACAGTATGGATGAAGTTTGTATCTCCAGAGGAAGAGGCAATGTATGGGGCAAGAGGGGATGAGGGAAAGGACTTGAGATCATCTTCAGGTTACCTGCAGGGTGGTCTGGGACCTCTCTGCATTGGCAGCAAATTGGGTGTAGAGCTCCAGGTGGGGGCAGAAGCCTTCCAGCCCCTGTCCCCAGTGCCCTCCTTCGAGGTAGGGAAGCAGCTCTCTGCGTGGGTGAGGACAGTAAAAGAGCAGTCCAACAACTACGCAAGCACCACCTCATTTAATTCGCATAACCTTGCCCCGGAGGTAGTGGTATTACCCCATTTTGCAGAGGGAAATCGGGGCAGGTTACGGCACTGGGCCAAGACCACAGGTGAATTAATTGGCAGACTCCGTATCTGAACTCGGGTCACCCTCCAAGCTTCGTGCACTGCCAGAGGCCAGGGTTCTCCCTCTTCTCTTTCCCCACGCCCCTTCTACTCACTGGCTGGCGCCGTAAATGAGCTCCCAGGGCCCAAACAGGGCCTGGCGCTCCGCTGGTCGCAGGGTGCCCTTGGCTCTCAGAATCCCCACGAAGTACTGCAGGAGGAGAATACCGGTATATACTCTGTAGGAAGACGAAGCTAACGCCAAGTCGGAGCTAGAAACTGCAGAATGCCTGAGCTCCCTTTATGCAGGAGAGACAGTCCAAGGCCCACTATACTCGGGGTCAGGGACCTCGCGGAGACCCTCCCATACCCTGGGGTCCCCGCCCCAAACGGGAGGGTGTGCGCAGCCCGCACCGTGGCCACCAGCCCCAGCTGTTCCTGGTAGCGCCGTTCGGTCTCCAGCAGCTCCCGGGCAGTGCAGGCGCGTTTCCGCTCCCAACGGGCACGCTGCTCTTGCACGGGGCACCGAGCACTGGCTCCCGGCCTCTCCATGCCTGGCTAGGGGGTCAATGCTTCCGGCCTCAGCCCGCCGGTGATTCAAATTCCAACGGCTCCTGGGGCAGGGCCGAGGAGAAGAATGCGCCCCCTGGCGTCGGGAGGCTCCGCACAGGACAGCACCAGCGGGGGCCACCGAACCGCATCCAGTCTCTGCCATTACGGCCTCGCCCTACCGCCAGGGCGGCGCTGTAGGCGCGCGAAGCCGGCTCGGGCAGCGTCGGGTGGGGCAAGTAGGTGGCCCTCCTCTGAGTTATGAGAAGTTGAGGCAGCAGTCTGGACCTTGACGTAGGACACCGGCAGGGCCTCAGTGTCCCATCAGTAAAATAGGGTAGGGGACAATAGTTATGGTACATATTGCCCTGGGCCTGTGCCAGACACTAGGGCACAGTCGTCCCCAGTGCTTTTCACTACTAGGAAACCTCATGGGTCACAGGATTGAATATTTTGCCCCCCTCGGACAAAAGTTGATAGGTTTTAAGTTACTAACTTGTTTTCACCTTTCATACAGATCCAAAACCTGACAACCAATTAGCTCCTGGTCAGCAAATGTCAATAACCAACGTGGTGGTCGAATTGCTGTAATTCGGGCCAAAGGCTAAAGCTTGTGGTTGATTAGTTGGTGCTACCTAGTCGAAGATAAAATGGACCAGATTTTCCTTACTTAGGTCTTTCAAAAAAGACCAGGCAGTAGCCCTGGAGGGTAAATTGGCAGTGCCGTCTTGTATGTATGAGAAGTCTTAAAATGTGCTTACTCTTATGACCTAGCAATTCCATTTTTAGGAATGCATCCTAAAGAAACAGATATGTGGACAAAAATATGTATACCAGGATGGGTGGTACAGTGTTGTTCATAACAACAGAAAACTAGAAACTATCTAAATATCCAGTGGTAGAGAATTGGCTAGGAAAATTATGGTACAGCTATTTGAAGGAATAATATGAAAGCATTAAAAATGGTGGGGGCTTTGGGGCACTTGGGTGGCTTAGTCGGTTAAGCATCCAACTCTTGACTTTGGCTCAGGTCATGATCTCACAGTTCATGAGATGGAGCCCCACATTGGGCTCTATATTGACTCACATTGGGCAGAGCCTTCTTGGGATTCTTTCTCTCTTCTCTCTGCCCACCCCCCCCCCAAATAAATAAATAAACTTTTTAAAATGATGTAAAAAAAAAACCTGTCAATATGGAAAAACATATAGTGTATTGCCACGACCAAACAAAGCATGCTACAAAGCTGCTTGTACAATATGATCCCATTTATGTATAGCATATATGTGACTGACTGGAAGGATAAACAATTGAGGTAATTGTGGTTGTTATCTCTAAGTGATCGGATCAAAGTTAATGCACTCCACAAATATTTTTTTAAGCACCTAATCTGTGCCAGGCACTGGATCACTGAGGTTAAAAGGGTGAATAATTCAAATATAGGGGTCTTTTAAAATTCCCTTGTTTTTCTCCTTTTCCCAAGTTTTCTGCTTGAGCATACATGCATTACTTTTTAATTAGAGGAAGAAATGCTGTTAAAGACCAAAATGTTAAGAAACCTTCAGACCCCATTCCTACCGCTGTGGACTCCTAGGAATTTGGACCCCAAACCAAGAACCAGGGTACTGTCAGGGTTCTGAGGTCCCCTCTAGCTCTCTGACATTCTAAGAATTCCAAAGAGATATGCTGGACTTAAATCAGGGGAAAACAACTTGAAGGGTTGGATGGCGGAAAGAGAAAGTTTGGGTCAGACTGCCTTGGACTCCAGTTGCAAGGAAACTGGTGATACCATATAGGTAGAGGACTGTTTACACTGTCTCCAGTGAATGTGGGACAGTCCACACTAAGAGTTCAAGAGTAGAAGGGGACAGATAATCCCATTGTAATTAGTATCACCATGAGTCTCTTCTGCAACCATAGGATGAGCAGAAATGTGGCCCTCAATGTCTGAAGACACAGACCCTAATGACCAAACACTTTGGACTTAAACACCACAGAGAGGTCATGAATCAGGCAGGTGGTGCCCCAGCCAGTTGGTCCTGAGTATGCCATGTCCCAACCTGGACATGCTCAGGAAACAAGACTCTGGGAGCTCAAACCTGTTTTAGGATTTGGCAGACTCCCAGCTGCAAAGACACGATCCAGGGTCAGAGTCTACATTCCCCACCCACACCAGAGACACAGTCACACACAGAAACAAAGAGCTTAAGAAAGATAGCACCATGGGGAATTAAATTCAAAATTTAATTAACTTTAAAAGCTGAGGGGAACCTGGGTGGCTCAGCCAGTTGAGTGTCCTACTTCAGCTCAGGTCATGATCTTGCAGTTGGTGAGTTCAAGCCTCACATGGGGCTTGCTGCTGTCAGCCTGTCAGCACAGAGCCCACTTCAGATCTTCTGTCCACCTCTCTCTGCCCCTCCCCCACTTATGCTCTCTCAAAAATAAATTAACATTTTAAAAAACAAAATAATAAAACACCAAAACAGAGAGAGACCTGCACATAGATGCAGATCTAGGCTGGCCAAAAGCAACTGGCCAAAAGCAACTGAGATGGTAGGGAGATGTGTGTAATTATATAGAGCACTGCAGAGCAGTGTACCAGGGGATCCTGACAGAGACCTAGAAAGGAAAACAATGGAAATATGAAGAACATTTGGAAAGAGGGAAAATGAAGTAAAGCTGGAATGGATGTGAGAGAAAGATCACACATACAGACTCGAGACTCCAGTTAACATGGTGCTTCTGTCCTCTGTGCTTCCCATGACCTTCTCCACTTCAACTAGATAAGTCATTACCACATTCTATCTTATTTAGGTCCATCCAATTCAGATACTAACATGTACCTTCCATGTGTCAGTGTCTAACCAAGGTGCTGACATCACAGCTAACCCAGACAATGAGCTGACCTTCCACATTACACACCGGATCAGATTTCTGTAGATGGCTCTCAATTTGGCTCCAGAAATAGCAACCTAGATTGCTAGGCTGACCACCTCCTTGGAGGACAGCAGTTGTTCAGCTGTGCAAGTTTTGGTATACAGTATGACAGTCTGACAAGGCAGATAATTTGGGGTGCTATAAAAATGCAATGTCATGCTCTTGGAACAGTTGTGGTTTGACAAACACAAGTCATTGACAATAAGCTCCCTGAGGGCAGGGAAGGCGTCTTAGTCAATTTGGTTTTTCTCAAGTCCTGGCAAGGTGATCTGCAGAGAGAAAAATGTTCAATAATGGTTAGCGAATAAAAGATTTAGTCAAATACTGGACCCTGCCCTTATGGAACTCAAGGCTATTAGACCAGATAAAATGTAATAAATCACCATAATATAAATTGGATGGTGGGCAAGGTAATCAGCAAGGGCAGGCAAAGAACCGGGGTGGTTCAGAGGCACCAGAAATCTCTTCCTGTGGTATAGAGTGGAGGAGGTGGCCTTTGAGCTGAGTCTTGAACCACAGAAGGTATACAGACAAGAGAGTAAAACTATTTAACAGGGTAGTGGGTGCACAAGTACTGATTCATGTACTAGAAGCTGGTTGGGACATTCAAATGGGGTCCTTGGGCCTCAGCTGTTCCAGGCATTACCTCTTTAGATAAGAGATCATTAGAGTCCCCAGGAAGAAGTGAGGTAGCAGAGCACCCGGAAGCTAGGGGCTAGTTCTTAACAGGGTTAGAAATACTTCAATATATTTCTCTAATCCATACAACCAAACTGGTACATATGTGCTGAATGGTAGCCCCAGATACGAACTTCCTGAGATGGCCTGACTCTCTTCTGGTTTGTTGAAGCCATAGAAACCTTATTAGAATGTGAGCTACAGAAAGAAAAAAAAAAAAAAAAAAAAAAAAAAAAAAAAAGAATGTGACCTACAGAACAGTAGAGGCTGTTCTCTAGTTCAATGCTGTATCCCTAGGGCTTAGAATGGTCCCTGGAGAATTGGAGGAGTCTCAATAAATGTTTCTCAAATGAGTAGGCAGACTGGGAACCCCAAGTCTTGGGGTCCTTTTACTTTTCATCTCCTTGCACCCACTCTTCCCTTCCAATCCATGTTGCACACTAGCCATCAACACAACCTAGTATGAGACTTGGATTCTGTCATTCTCTTGCACAAGATATTTGATGCCTTTCCTTTGCACAAAATACCACTCTCCCCGTTGTTTTTAGTAATTGAATTTCTACTTCTTCAAAGTCCTGATCAAATTTTGCCTACTCCTGTATTACTTTCTGAGGCAAAATTGATCTCTCTCCCCTGAATATTGTGATAGTGTTTGCCCTCACTCACTGGACAGTGAGCTCCTTAGGACAGGGACTGTGTTTTATTCATTTCTGTACCTTTAGTCCATAGGCCAGTGCTGGACATAGTGGATGCTAAATAACTGTTAAATATAAGAGTGACACTAGATGAACAAAGGTGGTCAAAAGTCTGGGGGGCGGGGTGAAAATGAATAGTTTAATTTGAATGGAGTATGAGGGAGAGTAGTAGGAGATAAAATGGAAAGGCTTCTTGGGTAAGATTTTGAAGGGACTTGGAAGTCAACTAGAAGAAGAAGGTGGACAGATGGAAGCCAATGAAGGTTTTTTGAGCAGAGGTGTAATATGATAAATAAATTTAGTTTAAGCCCATCAGAGTCCCTCTCCTACATATATTCAGTTTTCCATTTATATTCAGATTAGCCTCCCACCTGCCTATCTGTCCACGCACCCCAGGCCTCCCCAGCAGTTTGTCCTACCCCTTTACCTGCTCCTTGTCTGGGCCAGGGAGATATACATGGGCTGCTTCCCCTCTTAGCCAGAAGCTGTGGGGGCCCCAGCTCCCTGTCTTTCCCCCTCTCTGCCTGGGGCTGGGAAGCAGGCCAGGGTTAGCTGAGGCTGGCTGGTGAGCAGCTGGGCGGTGCCAGGGGGAGCCTGTGCCAGGTGGTGCCTTGGGTTCCAGGCTGAGCCTGTGACCCCGATAACCTCCTGCCTGTGCACATACCTGCCCCTCACTCCACCCCCACCCAGGCTTT